AGAAGTTTTTCCTCATGTTCGGATGGAACTTCCTGTGGTTCAGTTTCTGCCCGTTGCCTCTTGTCCTGTTGCTGGGCACCACGGAGAAGAGATTGGCCTCATCCTCTTGACACCCCACCCTTCCGATACTTGTACACGTTGATGAGATCCCCTCTCAGTCTTCTCTTCTCCAGGCTGAACAGGCCCAGCTCTCGCAGCCTTTCTTCATAGGAGAGGTGCTCCAGAAATAATAAGAGAATTACATAAGAGAAAATAACTCAAAAACACCCTCCAGCATTACAAAAAGTACGTAATGTTTGCTCTCCTCCCATTATAAAATAAAGACAATGGAACATAATGCTTATGAGAAGAGACAAGGAGTGAAGGCAGCTAGTGTACAGTGGGTGACGATTTGTTTTGCTAGATTTAAAGTGATTCAGTATATGGCAAAAATAAGTAGTTAGTCAGAAATGTCCCATGTTAATTTAAGAAGCAAGTGTAAATAGTTAAAGTAATACGTCTGCAGAACCAACTGTTGATCGGTCCCTTCAAAACAAAATCTGTAGGTGTTTTTGTATGCGCTATCTGTGGATATTTTTCTTTTATGACCAGCTGAGCCCAGCTCAGCCCTAGGTTGTACTGTTTAAACACTTTTCAAGAAAGAGATTTGTCATCTGTGGATATGTTGAATCCATTATAGGTGTCTATTTGGAAACTATTTAGGGCTACTTTCAGCTGACTTGACCAGCCTATACGTTTTTGAAGAAACAGTGACCAACGTTTTACAAGGTCATTTTGTGAGACTGAGAAAAGATTCCTCCTTTCCCCTCATTCAAATAAAGCGTTGTCTGATACCCCACAGATCAGGATGTTATGCAACATTAATTCAGCAATTGTGCCTTTTGGCATCATTAGCTAATTCAGAAACTGTGGCTTTGTGTGTCATTAGAAAACAATGCTATTGTCAAAGGGACTGTCTTTAGGTGTGAGAGAGCAGAGCACTGGCAGTCCAGGTTCAGCATCAGGGAATACTACAACTTAATCTCATTGTAGGTACGTTAACTACCCTAAAACAGGCTATTTGTTGCCTTTTTTTTTTTTTTTTTACCCCTAGGATGGTTGTGATCTTTTTGTCGTTAACAATATGTGTGTTCACTCTTTGCTTTAAAGTGTGCTAACATCCAGAAAATAAGTTGAGACTGTCTAAAATGGAGGCAAGATACAATGAGAGGAAAGACAAAAGTCAAAGGTACAGGGAAACTGGTGAGAAGGACAGTGCAAGGGAAAAAGTCTGTACGTGTATTTGGTGTCACAGGGGTGAACAAGTGGTTATACACACCTCTGATTTTTAACTTGTTTTTATGTCGGGACATGTTGAGGCGAGAGAAGTGGACTGGCTGACAGCAAGGGCAGGAGCAAATGACAAGGAAGGACGGACAAGTAGAAAGAACTGAGTTTTGCAAGGGGCAGGCATAAAGGAGAAGACAGGAGAGAGGAAAGGGTACCGGCTGAGGGTCAGCAAAGGAAGTCAGGAAGAGCGAGGGGAGGCAGGACGGAATAAACTGCGCAACTTCAACGACAGAAAAGCTAGCTGTAGTGAGCAAATCAAGGCCTGCAGAGGCAGGGGCTGCAAAGGGGTGTGTGGAAGCCGCAGTAGTGAAGAAGTAGAGATGCTCAGAAAGCAGCAGCAGTGGCTGCCATTCCCCCTTGCAGAGGGGCAGCCTTGCAGCTCCGTCCATCCCAGAAGCTGATGAGTTACTGCTGTGCTCGGAGCCACTGCGAGGTGCTAAGCAAGAACAAGTTACTCGTTGTTAGAGCAGGGAGGCACTTAGAAAAGCAAATGGAGTTTTCGTTAGAACCCGTTGAAATTTTTGAGGACACCAAGTTTGAAAAATAAATGCCCGTTTGATCGTCTTTACTGCCTTTTGCTGTTAAAGCTGGAACCCTTCTGTATTTCTAAAAGTTGAAAAAGCAAAAGTGGTTTTAAAGCTTGATAGAAATCCTTTATACCTTCTAGATGGGTAAGGTGGTGCTGCCTGTGTGGCCTTTGTGCCCTCCTGGGGAGAAGGCTCTGCCCGGGCCTGGTGCCGGCTGGCACACGTGGCACAGGTTGGCCACGCCAGTGCCCATACTGCTCTTCTCCCAGTGCCATGTGCTGGCCCCAAAGCGTAACTGCTTCTGTGTGGCTTTCTTTTTCCTTCTCAGTTCCAGTGCCCGCGATAATGAGGAGGCTGTGTTGCAGGCCACTGAAGACCTTTGATAGGTCTAATGCAGGGGGGAGCATATGGGTCCACGTTTCCTCTCACCGAGGAGAAAACCACCTGAGAAAGGAGCCTGAGACTGAATTGGCCAGCACACAGTGTGGGTCATCATGGCGCGGTGGACCAGGGAGTGAGCAATACTAGCAAGGGAGACAGGTTATTATAGCTGGGGAAGAGAAATACCATCTGACAGTGTTATATAGCTCTGTGTTGCAGTGCAAAAGTGAATGCAACATTCTCATGACTGGCAATCCAAAAGGTGGTTGCGTTAGGAAGAAAAATGCGTGAAGCATTTTGAGTGTTAAGTTCATACAAGATTATCTTGACCTCCTCCTGGATCATTTTTCAGTGCAGTGGGGGATATGCCATAACTGACTTGGAATACATGTGGAATTTGATACGTGGAGGGGGGAAGGGATGAATACATTGAAGACTGTGTGCTCTGCGCTCCTCCTGTGTGTCAAGACAGCACCGTCTGTAAGAGACAGAAGCGCTTCTTTGTGCAGGTGCCAGCTGATGAGTTTCTCTGTGCTGTGATAACATAACTCCTACAAAAGATACAGCTTTTTTAATCTTCAGCTAGCACTAGGATGAGCTGCTAGCATGCAGAGGGGTGGTGTACTCTTCATTCGAGCTTTCCCTTGTGCTCTCTCCTACCGGTCTGTGCAATGCTCTGATGTAAACCAGGCCCAGCTCTGTCTCATTCAGTCACAGAAACTGTTCTTTATAGAAGGAGGTTAATCCCATTTAAGAACTGGATTAGCAAAGACGTAGTCACTTAACCACAGATGCCTAAACTTGGGTTGAAGCAGATAGTCCCAGCTGGGATTAATGCTCTGCAGACTTTCTCTGTCAAGGCAGTTTCATGGCAGGCCTTGCACCATGTCGATGTAAATCTAACAGAGTTCACCGTGACGGCCGTTGTATGTTTGGCCTGCTAAATGACTGCGGGTTTTGTAGAAACAAAGACAAGTAGAAGATCTTTGTGCATTGTGTGAGCCTAGCTTCCTCAGAGAAGTGAATTATAAAGATAACGCAAAAGATAGCTGATGCTTGGCTCACTGTGGTTAGCTTAACAGAGAGCGTGGTGTGCTAGTAACGAGTGCAGAGCTTCCTCAGGCACAGGAGAGGTCTGCGCCTTTTAAGGATAATAGGCTTTGGGCTGTCAGTTGTCTTGGCACTTTGGGTTATCGGTTGTCCTGGCACTTGTACTTTTATCACTGTTCTCTGAACTTCCTTAAAGGTATTTATCTCTTTATGGGCATATTGATAAGGCATGCTAACAAATCCTGGAGTCTGAGCGTCACAGGAACAAATGTAAGAAGGAAGATTAGAATCAGTTTGAGCTTTGTATGGAGCCGGGGGGAATTCTCTGCACCCCGAGTAAACACATGAGCTGTTTGGGGCACTACTGTGACTACTGTACCTACCTCAAGCTGAGCTGAGTCCCCGTTCACTTCAGCTTAAAATCTCCTTTAAGGGAGGGCAGCAGAGACAGATTCCATAATTGTCTGGAGGTTTAGTTTGCTGTACTGTACTCTGTTTTGTTTTTTAAAGCAACTGATGAGGTCAAACAAATGTGGCTATCAGGACAAGGAGCTTTTGACAATTAGTATTGGTTAAACTTGTAGGAAAAAGCCAGAGCAGTGTAAAGTATGGTCTGACTGCGGGGTTTTTGCTTGTTGGTTTGTTCCTGGGTTATTTTTATTTGTACCCCTCCCTCCCCTAATCTGAAATAGGTGCTTTCTTAGAAATAAAAGATGGATAGCCATAGTACATTTATTAAAAAGAGTCTTTTTTATTCTTTGTAGTTCAAAAGCAAAGTTGCACCTAGAATTGCTTTTGAAATCATGCATAAAGTACGTTGTTAATGACTACCTAGTCGTATGCGAATGCATGATACGCATTTTCCATTGGGAGCTTTTGAAAACTTTCTTGAGTTGAGTTAACTCCTGAAGGTGCATTTCTGTGATGTGGAGCAGCATTGTATTTGAAACCCCAAATAATCCTATTTTTTATATTGAAAAAACTGCATAAAATGTGAGTATACTCCCCTGGTTTGGGCTCCAGGAATTTAAACTAAGACTGCTTCTTTGTTAGATAAAAGCAAAACTTAACTGAGAAGGGATGATGAAAATAGTGGTTTGAAGCATGTTCTTTCACTTGAATGAGAAAGTTGGCGCTAGAGGGAATTGGGTAATGTTTGCTTCAGGGCTTTCGGTGAGCAGTGCTCTGCTGGGCAGGCATTTTGCTTCAAGTGCATTTTTGAATGACTTCTGTGATTGAGAGCTTCAGAAAATAAGCTGTAAAGAAGGGAGGAAGCAAAACTTAGATGCAGAAGAAAAGCATCAAATCCCAGCCAAAGAGATTTAATCAGTCTTGAAACATCTCAGAATGTGTCGAACAAATGTAGAAATAGCTACATTTAAAAAAAGAAGAAAGCTTGATTCTTTTAACACTGTAAATCATGGAAAGCAGTGAAAACTAATATTTATGAGAAGGATTGTCAAAGTTTGTGTGACAGTTGGAAATTATATCACTGTTGATGTTTGAAATTCCTGCGTAAAGTAATGCAATACCTTGTTTATGAATAAATGATTGTGCTGTGCTAAGCATACTCTGTAAGGATAAACTGGGCTGAGCTATTTTATATCTCTTGTCTCGACTTCGGTTACTTTGCAGTATACAATCCCCTATGTTTCAGTATAAATGCCAAAAAATCAAATATATTTATTTTATTTTTATTTTTATTTTTTGCAGATACAGACCCACGTGTATTAGAGAAACAAGAACTTCAACAGCCAACCTATGTTGCTCTAAGTTACATTAACAGGTAGGTGTGTTTTTTTCTCAGATGTGTCTGATCACGGTTTGCACAACCTGTGTATAAATGTGTATACCAGAACGGTATGCCAATGTATTGATTCAATTTTATTTGTTTTGTGTCGTATGACACCGTGATGATACCTTTTTTGGGAAGACAGTTGAATTAAAACTTGACTGAATTTTTTTTCACTGTTATAGAGGGCACAGGCAGCCTCTTATAAAAAGTTCAGGTCCCTTGGGGATTAGGCTTTGGCTTTTTATGTTGATGCTAATACTTTTGCAAAATGGGATAATTTGTTGAATTTTTTCTGCTTTCTTGTACTTCACACAGCACAGTAGGAAAGAGTTACTTTTATGGAACAATGCCCCTTCCTCAAGGTAATTTGTTTGCCAAGCCATGTTTTAATCCTAAATAAACATGATACTTGAAGTGTAATTCCTCGTTTAAAATCTTTTTTCCTGTGTTGGGTAAATCAACATGTTGCTATTCTAGGATTATTTTGCCTTTTTTTACATACTATTTTTGATCAGATGTACTATGGTTGAAAGTTATAGTCAGTTGCTTTTTGGAAATTGATTCGTCTGAGAACTATTCTCTATGGGATTATTGGCTTTTTTGCATGGGATGCCAATATCCTTTTGTATCTTTGTTCTCTACAGGATGAGAGACAAATTCACAAGCGTGGAATATTAACACAAATTTAATTCAGAATAGACTGAAATAATTTGAACTTTCATGGGTCATACATGAAATTTTTCATTCTAATTTTACTTTATGTTAAAAATTAAAAAAAGACTTTTAAAAACACAAAATCC